GTGCACTGGTAGCGGGATGCACGTGGCAGCAAATTTGGGAAGGAGTTGGGGAAAACAGGCAGCTGCGTCTTCTGGTGCCTTGGGATATCCTTCTGCCGTGTGCCTGGGGGGTGGTGGAAGGGGTTGGTTTCCTCTCCTGGCTGGGCGAAGTGCCTGGGGCTGGCCCCAGGGCATCTCCAGAGCGTTCCCACGTCCAGCCCTGTTGGGATTTGTAGGGGCTGCGCTCTTGCTCCGTCCCTCTGCACGGCTGAGTGAGCTGCTGAGAGTTTCCCTAGGTGCAAAACCACAGAGTGTTTTGTGCTGTGGGCGTCTCTTGTCCTTCCTGGCTGCCTTTTCCTTCTTACAAGCTCTGAGCTGAGGTCGCAGAGCTCTGGGGCAGGTGGCCCAAAGGTGCCCTGGCCTTGGTGCCTGGGGAACATCGCAGGATGGGGCTGGTCCTGGGGAGCAGCAGGCTCAGGGCGGGCAGGGATGTGACCATTCCCAGCCACACTGGTGTAAATTCAGAGCAAACTTCAGAGCGTAGGCCAGGGGCTGTTGAAAATCTTGTGCCGTAAGCACTGCTCCTTCCCCCTTTGGGAGCACCGTCCCTTTTGGGGACAAAAGCGAGGATCTGACCTCTTGTGGTCGCTGCATTCCCATGGCAGTTTTTAGGTGAAAACTGGGGTCAATCGGTTCCTGCCCGGACACCTCCACAGCCGAGGTTCCTGGGGTGGGAGGAACCAAGGAACAAGGAAATCTCTGCACGGCTTTTCAGGAATGAGAGCAGACGGGCAGGGATTTCACTGCCGAGTGCGTTCAGGGAAACTCGCCACCCGCAGAGGCACCAGAAGAAGGAACAGCACTCGGCACGTTGCATTTCCTCGCGGGTTCCCGTGCCTTTCTTTGGCTGGCGGGGCTTTGCACCTGGCCAGCCCCAGCACCAGGGAGGAGGTTTCCAAAAACCTGGTCCCTGCTGCTAGTTCCTCGCCCCTCTCCGAGCGCGGCCCCGCAGCGCCCAGGGCTGCGCTGCGGAAGGGAGCGGCCGCCCAAATTTAGAATTTCCTGCTGTGCAATACCCAGAATTGATCTTCTTGCTGATTAAGGAGGAAGAGATGCTGAGAAAAAAAAAAAAAAAATAAAATAGCGGAAACCCGGGGGGTGTGGGCGCCTTTCTGAATCTCAGCTGGCCTCAGCTGGGGCTCTCCCCCAGCCACAGCCACGGGGCCCCGCTCGGGCACATGCCTGGCTCTGACGCCTCGGCCACAGAGAAATGCGGCTTCTTCTCCTCTGGGTGACTCAAGACACAGCTTTGAGCTTCCCCTCAGCACCCGGGATAGGCTAGAAAAGGTTTTCCAGCAGAGCTGGGTCACTGTAGTTTTACTGGCAAAGCCTCTTAGGCAGAAATGAAGATTATAGGGGCGAAAGCTTCTGCTGGTACGGTTCATTCTGGTACAAAGGAGCTATCCTGGGAAAAAAAAAAATCCCCCCTGCGCTGTTGTAATTGTTTCTGCTGCGGGACGTTTTGTGGGCTGGGAGGGTTCAAATCGCCTCTCTCCTAGAGGCTGCAAAGCTCCCGGGCTGCTTAAGACAGCGGAGCGGCCGGCGCCGCGGGATGGGAATGGGGACAAATGTTTTTGGGAGATTTTTCCTTGCCGTATTGAAAATTAATAATAGCGAAGGAGTGCTGCCTGGCGCCGAGCCAGGAGGATGGAAAAAAAAAATAATAATAAATTACAGGGGAGGTTGATTGAGCGGCCGAGATGCTAGCCTGGGTCTTGCCGTCCCCAGGATCTATTCCGGGCTTTGGCTCCGGTTTCCCTCGTGACCTTGGGGAAGGTCGCGGACGCCGTGCCCTGCTGGTGCCGGCCGGGTTCCTCCTCGGCCTCAGCCTCCTGCTGCTCCTGCAGAAATGGGTGTCAAGGAGCAGGCCGGAGGCTTTCTTGTGCCTCAGTTTCCCCACCCGTGAAGCAGGGGTGGTGGCACCCAGAAGCGGTGTTGTGGAGGGCTGCGGTGAGCACCCTGCTGGCCAAAACCAGGGTCAGGCTCCTGGTCTCGAGGCCGGATCGCTCCCTGCAGAGGCTGGAGCTGAAATAATTCCTCGGGCAGAGCTAAAGGAAGTTCCTCGGCCGTGGAGGAGAGCTGAGAGCACACACACGGCTCCGTGACCCCACTGCTGTCAGTGGAGCGCATGGGCTGCCCCGAAGGTCTTCTTCTTTGGGAAAATTCCCCTCCAAATTCTGTGGCTCGCGGGTTCGTCGTTCGGAGAAGGAAAAGAGCTTCCCTGCAAATTCCTCAGCTGCTGAGCAGCGCTCGGTTCTGATCTCCCAACTGCCATGGGGCATCTCGTAAGATATATAGAGGTCGTTGTGTTTAAACAAAGGCCGCACAGAGAAAATAGCTGCAATTTATGGGTGCGGCAGGAGGGGAAATGCTTAGGGAACTTTTTTTTTTTTTTTTTTTTTTTTGTATTTAGAAACAGGCACGGAGTTTATTTTGGTCAAGAGATAGTCACACACAGCAGCTTCAAACAGCAAAACTCCGCAAGGAAAGTGGGAAGCCTCGCGCTGCTCGAGCCGAAATGGCACCGGGGAAAAAAACCTTCCCCGGTTCGCTCCAGAGACCTTCAACCTAGGTGTTTTTTTTGCTTGAGTTTGTTGAGATGAAGGATAGTTCCTCAGCCTGGCTGCCAGGATTTTAGCATCCTAGGAAGGAGTCCTGCGTGGAAGTGCAGCTGCTAGCCACGGGGTGCTCGGAGCCGTGTCTCCCTGATTTTCCTCCAGCCGGGTGCGCACACGAGGGCTGCAATCAGAGGCAAATGCTCCCCACCGCAGTGATGGGGAAGCTTTTGGGTGAGAAGGGAAAACTTCTGGGTGCTCAAGGTGCTCGAATCAGCAGCGCTCTGCTCCAGACTTCGGAACATTCTCCTATGGGATTTGGGTGAAAACACACCCAAACGCACACCCGTGCCTAAAGCGCTTCTCCTGTGGCGTGCGAGGTTCCTCCTCCCCACCTCTCCTCGTGTTTTTTTTTTTTCTTTGCTGCCTGGCCGTGTTTCTCCACGCCAGCCGTCGGCAGCACACCCAGTTCCTCAGTGGGTGCGGGGGAATGCGCCTGCTTGCCGGGGGAAGCGCGTAAACAGGATGGGTGCAGGGGGCCGGGCGGGGGGCGCGGGCTGGGGAGCTGCTCCCCCCTCCTGCTCGGGGGGACCTGATTTCGGGAGAGGTGCCGGGACAGCGGCTGAGGCCCCGCACGTGCTTTGCTTTCTGATGTGCTCGAGTAGGCACGGGCTGGTCGCCAGTAACCCGCCCCTGACCTCGCCTGCTTTGCTGCCTGAGATATTGAGGAGATGGGAAAGGCACGGCCGTGGGGCGCTTCCTTTCCCCCGCTGCCAGGTCAAGTGCCTGCTTCCTCCGTGCACCTTTGGGGCCGGGGACCCGGCGCATCCATCCTCAGATTCATCCCAGGGCATCTCCAGCCCTGTCCATCGCCTCGCTCCACAGCTTCTGGTGTTGGTGTGGCTCCTCCGGAGCAAGGCTGGCGGGGTCCCCATGCCCAGCTGCACAGCCCACTGCAAAATAAATTTCACCCATTCCCCTCTGCCCCTGGGAGCAAAGGACAGGAGCGCAGCCCACATCCCGGGTCCCCGGAGTACTTGGTGGTGCCAAGCCCTGCTCCAAGCCCTATAAAAAACCCCAAAAGGCAGAGAAGTGGGGAGCACGGTCCCGGTGTGCTAAACCTCGGGACCAGACCCCGAAAGCTGGAGGAATTTCCCGGGGTTCCTGGTGCGCCGCACGCACGTCATCCTGCTGCGGGTGACGCGAGGGCCGGCGGTTATCTTCTATCAACATCCTGCCAGAGCCCACGTGAGGCCAGGCCCCTGGGGACCGCGGGCCCTGTCCGTGGGGACGTGTGCCAGGAGGGTGGCACCGGGCTGGGTGCTTTGCCTGGCCGAGATGGGATGGGACACATGTGCAGAGCTGGATGTGTCCCCGCTTTGGGGCTAATCCCCATTTTTTTGCAGCCCCATCACCTTGGGGAACCCGTTTCTGGTGTTTATCCGGGAGTTTAAGGAATTACCCGTGCAGGGAGCAAGCCTCTCTCCTGGCACGTGGCATCTGTGATGCTTACAAGGGAGGAAGGCGCATGGGGTCCTGTTGGGGGGGGCTGTGCCGTGCGGGGGGCCGTGCGCCTTGGGGGGGCTCGGTGCCGGGGCAGCACGGCTCCAAGTGGCAGTGCCCCGAGCAGGGGCAGCCCTCGGGGGTCTCTCGTGCCCCACTTGGGGCCGAATCCCCAGCAGCAGCTCCCTGTGAGCAAACCAACCCCTCACCCAGCTGCCTGCCCCTCTCTGGCTGCACATTTGCAGGGCAGCCGGGGGGGTCCCGGGGGTCCCACGGCCCCACCGCTCACCTCCCGTCCACCCCCCTGAGTCCCCCCGGGGGGCCACGAGCCTGCCCCCTTCCTCGTCCAGGATTGTTTTGCAGGCAGCGTGACAGGATGAGGAGGAAATGTGCCAGGAATGGCTCCATGTCTCCTCTCCAGAGAGAATCGGGTGGCTATTTTTAAATGCCCCCCCCCCCTTCCTGCCCCCCGTCCTCCTGCTCCCCTGGGACGGCCGAGCCGGTCGGACACAGAAACCCAACCAGCCTCTGCCGTGCAACCCCCCCGGCACCACCACCCCTGGGTTTTGGGGTGCTGCTGGGGTCCCTGCTGTCCCGTGCCTCGAGCAGCCCCGTTAGATCCCATTTGGGGTGTATTGTGGGGTGGGAGGGGGGTGCCCCGTTCCTGGGGATGCTGCCTCCGGGCAGAGGCTAGGGCTGGGTACAGAGGGTGAAGGGGGAGGAAGGCAGTGATGACCGTGTCTGGAGGCTCTCTGTGTTCAATCTGGGGTCGTGCAGCAGCAGGGGGGTTGGGAAGCAGGGCAGAAGGAGTTTAGGGGTGTCGGGAAGCAGCTGGGGCTCGCTGAGGGCACAACCTGCACTGGGCTGAGACTGAAACCCCGCTGTCTTCTTCCTCTCTTGCAGATTTCTCAAACCAAGTCAATTCCACGTCCCTGAACTCCCCCACCAGCCGGGGCCCCATGGCCACCCCCTCCCTCCACCCGTCCATCGGGCCGGGCATCGGCTCCTCACTGGGCTCCCCGGGTCAGCTCCACTCGCCCATCAGCACCCTGAGCTCGCCCATCAACGGCATGGGGCCCCCCTTCTCCGTCATCAGCTCCCCCATGGGCCCGCACTCGATGTCCGTCCCCTCCACGCCCAGCCTGGGATTCGGTACCAGCAGCCCGCAGGTAAGGGGAAGGGGATGGGGACGTGGCTGCTGCTCCTTTACAGGGGCAAGGACACAGCCTGGGAGGGGTGGGGGGGGATGATCTTGCTCTGCTCCCAGCTCTGTTGTGCTTCCCAAGCGAGCACGGGGAGCAAACCCCCCTCGCAGACATCCTCGGAGAGGCGGGCAGGCGCCGAAGGGTGGCGAAAAGCAGAAGCCCAAGGGGGAAATGAAGCCGGGGCTACTCCGGCAGGGTGGGGGGACCGCGGGGGCGCAGGGCTGGATAGCATCCATCCATCCGTCAGCTGCCATCTCCTGCCCCCCCTGCTCCTAGATGGGAGTGAAACGGGAGCAGGGACTGCCCCTGGGTCTCCTGGGGATGGGCTGAGCTCGGGCAAAGGGGACGGAGCCCCCCCCGGCACTGCCCTGTCCCCTCCCTGGGACCCCGCACGTCCCCTCTTGGTCCCCGCTCCCCGAGGCACGCACCGGGGGGCTCCCCTGCTTGCTGCCCCTCCTGCCCCTCACGGAGGGAGGAACCGGTGTTGGTTGGCTGAAGATTATGTAAAAAAAAACCCTCCAACGGGGGAGAGATAAGCTCTTTTTAAAAATAGCAGGATCGGGGCGAGCTGGCCAGCCCCCGCCACCTGTTGCTGGCTGCTCGCACGTTACATGTTTAGTAAAAGGGCAGATTAAGGAATTGGCTGCCACCTGCCACTCACTGCTGGGTTATTTATTCCCAGCCCTCGCCGGGAGTCGAGCACCTGCCGGCACCTTTATTTTTAAATCTGGGCCTGATTGCTTTCCAGCAAGAAGGGGTTTTTCTGCCCAGGGCCGGGGAGGGACGCGCTGTGCCGGCGGTGTCAGCCAGCCCCGGGGCTCCCCCGGGATCCAACGCACCCCACACCGCAGGGAGGTGGCTGCAGGGTTCCCCCATGCCGGATCCAGCCCCTGACCCTATAAATTTGTGGGGAGCTGCCCCTGCCCGGAGCAGAGCCAAGGGGCAGGGTGGCAGTGCCGCCTCCCATCCCGTGACTGAGGGAAGGGGGAACTGAAACGGCTCCTGGGAAGGGGCAGCGAGAGCCAAAGGGGCTGGGAGAGCATCAAAAGGGTGGGGAAGGAGCGGGGAAGGGGGGAGGAAAGGGGCGACGCGGCCCCGGCTTCGACTGAAGGGCACGGGGTGCTTTAGGGGCGGAGGGGCTGGAGGAACCGAAATAAAACCCAGCGGCGGGGTGAAAAAAGGGGAAGCGAGAGCGCGGTCGGGTGGTGCCGGGGAGCATCCCCGAGCCCGGCCGCGGCCGTGTCTGAGGTGGTTTTCCTCGAGGAGGTTTCCAACCCGCTGGCTCCTGCCGGCTGTCCCCTGTCTGGGCGCCTCAGGGCCCTGGCAGCGGGCTGGGAGGCCTACCTGGGCCTGTGGAGGAGGAGGAGGAGGAGGAGGAGGAGGAGGAAGGGGGTAATGAGGCGTGAGGGCCCAGCCGCCGGGTGGGGCCGGCCCTGCTGGAAGGAGCTCGGTGTCAGCTGGCGGGTGCCACTTGCCATCAGGCCACGCCTCGTTGCCTCGTGTGAGGCAGCGGAGCAGAAGGGCAACGGGGACGCTGAGGCCTCTTCAGCCTCTTCCCCAGCTCCTGCCGGCATCGGGGTGGGAAGGAGCCCTCCGCTCCCCCAAATTTGGGCTGTCAGCTCCCCGGATTCGGGCTGCTGTCCCTCTCGTTTCATCCCACGCCATGGGGCTCCTCCAGCCCCACACAAGACGTCAGCCTTGACCCCGAGCATCCCCTCCCCGCCTGGGAGCTCGCAGAGCCTCCAAACGCAGCCCAGCAGCCAGGATGCCCTACAAGGGGGTCCCCAGCACCCAGGGACCCCTCGCTGCTCCCCAGGGGGGGGATTTGGGGAGCTGGGTGCTCGCACGGAGCTGGGCACGTGCCGGCAGAAAGCCCTGGGGCGCTTTGCAGCGGGGAGCAAAGCCCCAGCCCGACCAGGAGGCTGTTTACTGGGATTTAACACGTCTTTAAGACCTCTTCAAGTTTCTGGGAAAACAATAATAATAATAAAAAAAAAAGTGTTTTCAGTAAGAGATGACAGGGAGGGGCTTCCCACGCTGGATGTTTCTTCCTCTCCCTCCTGCTCTGCTGCTCGCAGCCAGCAGCAGCTCGGGGATGAGCAGGGAGAGGCCAGGAGCAGGAGCAGGCTTCTGCAGGGCTGCTCCCTGCCTTGGCACAGGGCTCTTCGTAAATCCAGGGGGGCTGCAGAAAGAGTAGGGTGTTGTTTTTTTTGTTTTTTTGGAAGAGGAAGCCTCCGAAAAGGAGGTTGCCAGTGGAACAGAGGGGACAGGATTCGGTCCCTGGCGCAATGAACTAAAAAGGGAAAGGAGAGGAGCCGAGGAGTCCCAGCGCACGGGGCTGCCACGTCATTCGGGAAGCGGAGCAGCAGTTCCCCTGGGTCCCCGGCTGCCTCACAGGGCTGGAGCCATCCTGCCCGGGGAAGGGGGGGCAGAAACTCAGGGCCGGGGCCGTGCGGGCTCCCCGCGGCACGTGCTGCCGGCTCCGCGCCAGCCGAGAGGGGAAGGAGCGGGGCCGGCGCCGGGGCGGCGTGGGAACCCCACAGAACACGTGGGGCTTCTGCCGAAACCCAGGCGGGTGCTGCAAGAGGAACCCAGGACTTCTCCTCCCAGCCCGGGGCTGACTCAGCCCCGGCGGGCGTCGTGCTGATGCCCAGGGGGGCGGTGGGACCCCCGAGGGCTGGGGTAGGGGCGAGGTGATGCTCTCTCCACGTCTCATTTTGCTGGACACCCCCCAGAGGGATGCTCGGATGGGCTCGGTGGGCTGCAGGGGCTGGGGGATGTGGTGGAGGATGGTTTGTCTTCAGCTGAAGTCCTCTGCCCCGGCTGCGACGTGGCAGTAGCAGGTGACAGCGCGGCACCTGGCAAATGGCTCTGTTCCCAAAAAAGTGCTCCAGGGAGTGTTGCTCGAGCCAGTGACCCCAAAACCGTGGAGGGATGTGCCGCTGCAGTGCCTCTGCAGGTAGCTCGTGCCTTTCTCCTTGGTGTTGTCAGGCCCCAAAGGGCGATGCTCCCGGTCCCCCCCTGCCCCATCGTGGGGGAACCGAACGGCCCCGAGCAGCTGAGAGCCAGGAGCGCAGCTCCGGGTCCCGCTGCCTTTGGTTTCCTCATCTGTCACGGGCAGGGCAGGAGAGGAAAACCCTTCACATTTCTCCGGGGGGGGGTTTGCCTCGCTCCGCTCTGCGGTTATTAGTCAGCTGCCTGCCAAATATTCCCCACCAGCCCGGAGACTTGAAAGGCAGAGGAGCGGCTGTGCTCGTCTCATTGACGGATCGCGAGCCCTGGGACTTCCCTGAATTAATTTGTGACAAGTGCAATTGCCGAGCGTCTCTATTAAGGGAGGAGAGAGACAACAAGGCGAAGCACAAACCCTGCGGATCCCACCTGGATTTAGTACTTGGCAGGGCTGGGGGCTCTGCTGCAGTCCTTGGCACCGCTCCTCGCTGCTGTCTGGGGCTGAACAAGCCTGGCTCTGTGCACCCCAGGGGCACATTTAAACCCCCCCAGGGCCGGGTAGGGGACCCTGCTGTGTCCCTGGCCCCTCTCGATGGGGCTGAGCAGGGAGGGCATGGTGGCAGCGGCACGGAGCAGCGTGCAGCAAGGTCTTTCTGATGACACGGTGCATAAAATCCGCTCGGCCTCCTGGCGCAAAGAAAACCCCCGAGGCTGTGCAGGCGCGGACGGCTGCTGAGATGAGGACGCCGGCTTGTAACTCAGAGGCTGGGGCTGTAATTCCGTCCTCTCACACCTTCCCTTCACGCCTCAGTGGGCTGTGAGGGGCGTGCAGCCGTGGGCAGAGGCACGGATGGCAGAGCTGGTGTGGATCAGCCCCAGCTGCACAGGTTGCTGTGATACCGCCACGGGTCCCCCTTACATCTCCGTGCCTCAGTTTACCCTTGTGTTTGGGGGGATCACGGGGCCCTGCCTGTGATATAAAGCAGGAATCCTCACCAGCACCCCTGTCCCAGCTGCTGCTTTTAATTCTGCTCCTTTTTCCCTGCCTGTCGGGCTCGGCAGGGTCGGGATGGGAGCCCGGCGGGCTGCAGAGCGCCGAGCGGTGTCCCACGCCTGCCAGCTCTGCAAAGCCAGGCCCCGCTGCAGCTGGGATCTATTTATTTGCTGCAGAGCTTTCCTTTGGAGAGAGAGAACGCTAAAAGGAGATCTATAAATTGCCGAGCGAAAGCGCTCGTGTCCTGGCCTTTGTCATCCCTGCAAGCGCTCGCTCCCACGAGCTGTCGCTGCCAAGCATCCTCCCTGCCCTTTACACCAGGGGGAGGGCTGGGGAGCACGAGGAGATGCGGGCTGTGCCGTGGTGCTGGGCAGCACAGAAGGAGCTCAGCCTCACGTTAATCCATGCCGGAGCATCTCCCATGGGGCTGGTGCTGGGAGCAGGACCCGGTGTCCCCCTGCCACCAGCTCCGAGCCAGGGCAGCAGACGAGCCCCTGGGCTTTGGTTTCTGGTCTCAGGTGCCCAAATCCTCTTGGCTCAGCGCTGCGGGTGTGGGTTTTAAACTGTGGTTGTCCCCGTTTGAGGGGTGTCCCCTACTCCAAACGTAGCCCCCACGTCCCGCCTGCTCCCTGCTGAGTGCCCTGCTTTTGTCTCGACAGCTCAACTCGCCCATGAACCCCGTCAGCAGCTCCGAAGACATCAAGCCCCCCCTGGGGCTCAACGGGGTCCTCAAAGTGCCAGCACATCCCTCAGGAACGATGGCCTCCTTCACCAAGCACATATGTGCCATCTGCGGGGACAGGTCTTCAGGTACGGCTGGTCCCTGTGCCGGGTGCTGCTGCCCTGCACGAGCACAGCGAGGCTTGGCATCGTGGCCGGGGCACATGGGGACAAAAAAAACCCTATACAAAAGCCTCCCCAGGCTGTCTGCTCTCAGGCGGGCGCTGTCACGAGCCAGGTGAGATGTGCTCGCCGCGGCTCTTTGACCTCTCCCATTCTTCATCATGCCCTGACGGTAAGGAGAGAAGTAAACAATTTGTCCAGCTCCTCGGAGGAGCAAATCCCCCAGGTCACAGCTTAGCCAGCGGTGTTTTATCCTCGGCCCTAAGCAGTGCTGCCCCTCAGAAGGCCGGGCATTAGCTGAGCGTCCCTCTCTCCGCATCCTTTGATCCGTTGCTGGTCTCATCACATAGCACCAGATAAAAAGATGTGCTTCGCATGGAGCCTCTCCACTCATGGGAGATAAAGATGTGCTAATTCCCTTTATTCTCATGCTATTTTAAAAGCTTTCTGCTCTGTAAGTGCTCTGGCGTCTGGGTTTGGAGGTCCTTGGGGACCCCTCCTTGCTCTGTCGGGCTCGCGGCTGGAGGGGGGTGCGTGGCGGAGCAGGCTGAGCCTCGTGTGCGGCGTGGGGTGCCCAGGGGGAGCGGGGGGACAGGGATGTGCCCCCATTTTTTGCTGTGCTGCATCTCCCTTGGTTTCATTCCCAAATGGTGGGGGCTTTTTCTGGCTTTCTCGGATGGTCTGGAAGTCAAGTGAAGGCAAAGCTGCTGCTCTTCAGCTCACGGTCACCGTGCCAAAAAGCCTCGGCTTCCCCCGGGCACTGCCCTGGGCAGAGCTGCGGGTCCCTGGGGCATCTTTGGGCCCCCGGGACCCTCGGTGCATCCCCTAACCCAAATCCTGTCCCCATTGCAGGTAAACATTACGGGGTGTACAGCTGCGAGGGCTGCAAAGGCTTCTTCAAGCGCACGGTGCGGAAGGACCTGACCTACACGTGCCGCGACAACAAGGACTGCCTGATCGACAAACGCCAGCGCAACCGCTGCCAGTACTGCCGCTACCAGAAGTGTCTTGCCATGGGGATGAAGCGAGAAGGTAAGGCCAAGAGAGCCTGGCCCAGGCACCCAAGGGTGCTGTGTGTCCTGCAGGCACCTGTCCTTCCTCGGGAGGCTCCAACACGCTGCCTGAGAGCTCGCTCTCCTTGTTTTGGGGTTATTTTATGGCAGCAAACGCACCAAGAGCTTTCCTTTCCCACCTTTCCTTTCCCTGGAGAGAGGTGAGAAAGCTGCTGGGGCACGTTTTGGGGGACAAACCTGGCTTTGCCTTCCCATCCCATGCAGCCCGGGATGCTGAGCCCTGCAAACCCTGAGCTGGTCAGGGGACGTTGCGCAAAGAGCCCACGGTTACTGTGCTGCTGCCTCGGAGAGGCTCCCGCAGCTGGTGCGTCCCAGCGGCTCGCTGTTTATCTTTCACACCTCTCACGGGGTGGCTGTTGGGGTGAAGGGAGTTATCGCCCTGCTCGGCTGCCTGCGGACACGGCCTCGGCTCAGGGCTCCGCTGCCCTAACCCAGAAAAATTCCCTAGCAGCAGTGATACTGGTTTTTGTTTTTTTTTTCTTTTTCTTCCTGGGAGGATAAAGGAAATTCAGTCTTGTAAAAAGATCTCCCCTACCCTTACTGGAATGTAAATGTAGGATCTGAAACTCCCTGGCAGGGCTTCTTTTCAATGCTCTTTTTAAATGCTGACTGCACCTCTTTCAAACTGCTGGCAGAATAGGCTTTTAGCAGAGGCGATGTGAAAATGACCCCTCGGTGCTGCTCAGGTCTCCGGTGCCTTCTCCCCTTACATCTGCCGAGCACCCTGGCCTGGGGCAGGCGGGCAGAGCCCTTCCTCTGCCGGCTGCAGCGAGTGGTGCTCCCGACGTGTCCTTTTGGAGAGCTCTTGGTCTTATCCCGGGCACGAAATGCACCCCTGCTCTCCCTGGCCCCATGGAGTTTCATCCTTCAGAGCTCAAAATCGTGGCTTTCTGCCCCAAACAGCGATGGGTTGTGCATGGGGAGGTGGCTCTGCCAGGTGTGGCTGCAGGCAGACACCTCGTTTGATGGAGCAGCGTGGTTTGAGGGGGTGGACACGTTGCTTTTGTTAGGAACACGATGCACAGCGGGTACCTCCGAGAGACACCCTTGGGTGGAGCTTGGGGTGCTCCCGGCTCCCTCCCCGCTGTCACCCCCAGCAAATATTCATCGGAGAGGGGATTTCTCCGTGGCAAACTTCTCCTTGGAGAAGAAAACTGGTGCACACAAGGGCAGAGGGGGTGCAGCCCGCTTGGACCCCCAGGACACACATCCAGGACAAGCGCACGGAGACGAGCGGCTGCACGGCAGGGCTGCAGGCAGGCTGTGGGGCAGGGGAAAGGCAAAACCCTACAGACAGATCCACGCGGGCAGAGCCCGTGGCCGTTTGTGATCCTGCTCATCTCCTTCCCCGCGGCTCGCCCGCGCTGATCTCCTGCCATCGGGCACCTGCCTCGTGCCTACCGTTAGCGGGGATTGCATGGGCAGCACCATTAAAATTATAGCCCTATTAATTAATTTCTAAGTGGCGGTGGAATTCCCCGGGGAGCGCGTACAGTAGGAGGACTCTATTAATTCATCTTGATTAACATTATCACAATGAATACCGAATGAATTCGTAACGATCAGCCAATTATTTAAAAGTGTGACAGATGGGAGCTTCGGAACTCCACGAGGGCGCTCAGGCGGCGCGGGCTGATCCGCTGCCGGCGCTGCACGAGGAGAGCTCTGGAGAAGGGGAAAATCCCGGTGTGTTGGCAGCCAGCGGGTGTTTGGGGTAAAAACCCCGTGTAGGGAAAGCTGGGATAGCTGCCCTGGTCCCCAGATAAAGATCTCTCCTGTTACAAGCCTGGCAGCTCAGCGCCTCCTGCCAGGTTTGGAGATGTCCCAGGGCTGTTTTCAGACCTGAAAGAGAGAAGTTGGAGCTTGCTGAGCTTTGGTTTCGAGAAGCTCCCGGATTTCACGTGGGATTACCCACCTGATGTGCCAACAGAGTATCTCCTTCCCCTTGCATCCATCCCAGCTCACTGCTGTCCTGCAGGGCCTTGTCCTCACAGCAGCCCTGCCGTCTCCACGCCGCCTCTCTTTTGGGGAGCAGCTTTGGGCTAAATCCCGCCCGGTAATTCCTTTTGCCCAAATGCTCGCTTAACAACAAAGCTGGCTTTTTATCCTCTCGTGTAAACTGTTCCATCTTTTAAGTAACAGCCGGGGTAATGGGCCTCATTTCCTTAAAAAATATCTCGCTCTGGAGACCTAATTTATAGCTACATAAACGCATACCAGACTCCTGCTGGGAAAGTCTCTCTCCTGTAGCCCAAAGGTATTTGGATGTCGTGGAAGTGCAGTAAAACCCTCTAAACTAAGGGCTAAGCGCTCCGGTGAAGAACTAAAACACATCCTGTGTGGCAGCGGGTGCTGCTGTGAGCTGCAGAGCTACACTGGGAAGATGAGGGCTGCAGGGCTTGCCCAAAAACCCTGTGCAAGGAGGGTTAAAAGGCTCCTTCCGTAGCTGATGGGTTGGCTTTGAGCTCCCAGCACCCGGGGGGCTCCAGGTGCTTGTACCAAGGGCAGGCAGACCCTGACCCTGTGCTCCAGGGGGGGATCCCTGCAATTCCAGGGGGAATCCCAGGGCGGGGGAGGCAGCGTGCGTACGGTGGAGGGAGCTCGGGATGTGCTCCTGGAAGGACAGGGCACTGCTTCTGTGCCGGGAGGCTTGGCTTTTCCAGCCAGGTCTGGGGGATATTGGCTTCGAGGGGTGAAAGCCTGCAGAAGTGGAGGATTCCTCCTAGAGTGTGCACCTCCAGCTGCTCCCCGTTAAGGGAAGGGTGGGATGGATGCTGATAGATGCTGATGCTGTCCAAGCCTCGTGGGTTCCGAGGTACTGAGGCGGTCATAAATAAGTGACTGGGAGCATTTTTCCCCTGTGAATTACTGCCAGCTGTGCGAGCCTTTGGTTTTTGCACTCTGTCTCCCACCGAATACCGGATAGTCAACAAAAGTGAGATTACCATCAGGGATCTTGACTAATGCAGGGATTATTGCTGTGGGGGTGGCTGTTTGCATCCAGAAGGCCAACTCGCTGCTTGATCTGTTCCTGATTAGGGTCTGAGGTGGGTCTCGGTTAGCAGAACAGCTTTGGAGGCTCTGCGCATCAGCAGCCGACTATTTTAAGGGAAAAAAACGGAAAGTGCCGTTGAGCTGGGGAGGAGGAGGTCTTGTGAAGAGATAGGAGTAAACACCCAGGGTCTCGGGATAACGGCAACTTGTGTGCAGGGCTGTTAGCTGGGGTTAGCTTTGGAGCTGAGAGGGGTCACCCGAGCCTGCAAACCCCCTGGCCCCGTGTTAGCAGTGCTGTTTTCTCCTGCAGTGGGGTCCCAGCCCCGTATCACCAGCACCAGGAGCAGGAAGCAGCAGCAAGGAGCCCTTTCCCATGCTCCCGCAGCAGCTCGCAGCGATCCCCCGTTGGGAACAGCACAGCCCAGCCCCCTCCGCCCCCGCCGCTCCTTCCCTTCCCCGGGCAGCCCTGCCGAGACCGAGGCCGTCCGGGGTGGCTGGCTGGTGGTGCTTCTCCTCCAAGAAGTCGTGTGAGTGACCCCCAAAGCCACAACGTGGTGGTGGTGGCCTCCAGCAGCCTCCAAGGCGCGATGCCGCAGCGCTCGGACGTCCCTCGCTGGCTCCAGGACCCCGTTACCCCGAGCTCCTGCAGGGCCGAGGGTCTTAACCCGGGGTGGGCTCCCTGCTGAGCCCTGCAGGAAGCTTTGTGCCTGCAGAACCTCAGCACCTCTCCTGGGAGCTGCCCCCATCACCCACTCAGCCCTGAGGGACCCAAGTGTCCTCCCGTGTTGGCCAGGAGTCACTCGGAGCTCACTGATGTGCACCCAAACCCCCCCCGCTGCATCTCTGCAGCCCCCGCACCTCCAGCCCCAGCTCCCGGAGCATCCTCGGGGCAAAAAGGAGCGAGAGGAGTCTGGGGAAAAAGAGCAGGAATTCGGGTCTCCCGCCTGCCCTTCCATCTGAACGCAAAAGCAGACAAGTGGCCATACCCCAGCGAAGGGGCAGAGTTCAAGAGCGCAGTTATTTTTAGGAGTAATTTTGGAATGGAAAATGCTTTTCGGCTTAATGAGCTTGTTTCTTATATCCTTTTAAAGAGCTGCTCTTTAAAGCAGCTGGTTAAAGGATGCTGTTGTGTTTCTTTTTTTTTTTTTCGTTGTTGTTGTTTTGAAGGATACTTTGAAGGTTGAGAAAAAGGGTTTGGTTTCTGATTTTCTCTCCCTGCTTTGGCAGTGTTATACTTTGCCGTGCCCAGGTTGTGAGAGTGAAGTGACCTGCTCCTTTTAGCTTTTGTTTTCCAAAGCCCTTCCCTGTGCAGGCTGACTGCGTGCGAATATCTCAATCCACTCTTTAACACTCCATTTCCCTGACATCACATTTCTTAGCATCACGGCAGCATTTTGCCTCTCTTAGCAATACCAAACACCATATCCAAGTGAAAGCGCCGCCGTTTATTTCCCGTACCGCAGCTTTTGAGCTTGTTCACCATAAAAAGCTGCATCTGGGAGACAAGGGAGGCACAGCCACACGAAGGCGAGGCAGGAGGAACACGGTCGGGATTGGTTTCCCCAGCCGTGGCGGCGCTTTCCATATAAACAGGTACCTCAGGCGTAAGCGCTTCAAGATGCCTCTGATGCACGGCTGAGATGCAGCTTCATAAAAAGGCAGCAGAGCCCAATAAATTCCACCGCTGGTGAAACGGAAATCCCCAATAACCCTCCCCCCAGCACTTCATAAATAAAGCAGCCACCCACTTGTAGGCTCGGGGAAAATGGAGCAGGTTTGGGTCTTGGAGGCCACCGGAGCCTCCGGGCTCTCCAAGAGGAGAGCGGCGAGCTGGGGCACCCCGCTGGCAGGATGGCACCCGAGGCAGTGGGATCAGGTCTTCTGAAAGGCAGAGGGTTGGGTGGGGAGGCCACCCTCATCCGCCAGTGCTCCAGTGAGGCTGGGCTGGGCACGAGAGGCTTCAGCTGCCCGTCTGTGAAATGGGCACAGCCGCGTGCCCCGAGAACCTTGGGCCTCCTGGGGATGGGGCCGGGGCTGAAAATCTGCCTGGGTCCCTGAAATCTGCCTGGGCTGGAGTGGTCTGGAAAGGGGCATCAGCCCCGTGTGCCTCTTCTGCTGTCATCTGCCGTGGTTTTTGCACTGCCCAGGGATGAAGTCGAGTGCTGGTGCCTGCCCTCCGTGTGCCACTCGCCGGATCCGTCCCCCAGAGAAAGACCCATTCAGTCACGTCCTGGTGGGAGTGAATTATTCTTCCCCCTCGTCCCCTGAGAAAAGGAACAAAGCCCAGCCAGTCGCCCATGTTATTGCTCCTGGAAGGAGGGGAGTTTGTCTCAGACACAAGCCCTCCTCTCTCTGGAGGCAGGCTGATTACAAGCTGATGGAGCCTGCAGCTCTCTGCGAGCAGACAGGCACGGCTCTGACCCCACGGCTGACGGGGGCACCTCGGCACTGCCTTGGTGCAAAGCCCCATTCCCTCTGTGCCTCTGGCTTCCTGCATTAAAATCCCTCGAGTGCAGAAGCTTGGGGGTCCTGAGCACGAGGACAGCAGGTCGGGGTACCCGTGGCTTTGGTCCAGAGCCCATGGGTCCGAGCACTTCAGCAAAATGCTGCTGAATCAGCGTCGGAGACACCAAGTTGGTTTTCTGCTTGCATCTCTCACCAGGCTTTAGAAGCAGAGCTTGCATTTGAAATCTTTCTCTTTCTTCAAGCTAATTAGGCTGCAGATCACAGCAGCGGGTTTCTCTCCGCCAGCCAGAAGCTTGAAAAGGAAAGAAACCTTCTGCCCGAGGACTGGGATCCCGGGGCGTTCGCACGGCTCCGAGAGCAGGGGCTCGGTGACAAGGGCACGAGGCTTGGGGAGCAGTGACAGCAGTTGGGGTGCAGAGTTTTCCTTGTCCCTGCAGCGGGTGGAATTTGCACTATTTTCACGTCAGCTCTTGGTCCTGGGCAGCTGAGGTTCTTCTGCAAGCCACGGGATGAGGCATTTTGGTTCTTTCAGAGGGAGAAGCCACCAAGAAGTGGTCTTAGCGCACGTATATTGCTGTACCACGGCCTGGGGAAGTGCAGGCGGGCTTGGGATCTCGAGATGAGAAGTGACAGCAACCAGCCTTGGGCAAGAAGAAGCCAAATGAAGCGGAATAACGTGAGCGCCTCTTCATCAGGTGCCATGGCAAACACAGGCTTCTGTCCTTGGCTCGGCTCAGACATAGCTGGAGGAGGCGCGGCCGCCTCCGAGAGCTCCCCGACTGCAGCATCTTTTTTCTCCTCAAGTGCATTGCAGGTTTTAAATGCTTCCCTTCTGTTAGGAGAATCAGACTAAAAAAAAAAAAAAAACAAAAAAAACAACAAACCTCTCAACCATACGAGTCTCCTTGAAGAAAAATAAAAGCATCGGCACGGCCGTCAGCACAGAAGAGCCTGCAGAAGCTGGTCTCCGAAAACACAGCACGTTGGACGGGGTGGTGCAACAACAGCTCGGCCCTGCTCTGGGGACAAACGTGCCCTGCTGTGCCACCCGAAATACAGAAATTGGCGTTGGTGGTACCCGCACGGTGCTAAAAGCGTGCAGCCAGGGCGGTGAGGGCAGCAGGGGATGAGGACACGGCTGCATCCATTGCATATGTTGATTGTGTCACCAGGGAGAGTTCGGGTTGGAGGAGCCGGTCACAGACCCCCTCTAGTTTTTTGTCTTTAATCTCTGTACCTGGAGAAACAGCAAACCCCATGAGCTTACAATGTCCGTGAGAGGAAGGGACAGAAATCCAGCAGAAGTACCGAGAACCCGACGATATAATGACCTTTCTAAATTTTACTGTGTTACAGGGATGGAGCACCATCCATCCCGGCCCCCAAGACTTCTGGCAAGCCGAGAAGAACAAGGTATTGCAGTACTGCCAGACAAGCTGCCATGCAGCGGCCACGTTTATATTTCTCTCTTTTTATTTTTTTATTTTTCATTTTTATTTTTCATTTTTTATTTTTCATTTTTTATTTTTTAAGATAAACAGAACCAAATAACAGAGCCACAAAGAAACCCAGCTCCAAATCAAGCCCATTTGATTTTTTTTTATATTTTTTTTAATCAGCTCCACCGTGGGGCTTTTTTTTTGATTAATCCCTGGTGGGAGTGGGGAGTGGACTCCAGAGATCTGGTCCCAGGTCTTTATGGAATGTGACAGTTGGTGTTGGTGGGGCTGAGATCTGCAGATTTAAGGCTTGAAGTAGCTGCTGTCCATGCAGACCTCTGCAGCACTTTCCTACAAATGCCAGTGTCCAGCCCAGCCACTGGCAGCTGAGCTGGGGGATGCATCTCAGACTGGTCCCACTGGTGGAAACTGGCCTCGGGCAGCCTCTTGCAGAGCCAGGAACCACACTTTGTACCTTCATCTGTGTGTCCTGTGCACCCGAGCATCAGGTCTTTGGCGTTTGAGTCATTTTATAAAATCCCGTTTTCCAAGTTTGCCTTTCTCCAGGCTTTTCTGGTGTTCAGGAGCTGTTTTATCTCTCCGAATGTGCCCAGAAGAGCTCCGGGGCGTCTGTGCTGTTGAGGAAGGGCTGGCATTAAGCAAAAATTTCTGGTCTTTTTTATGACTGAGAAAACAGGAGCGTGGGTGGGTGTGGGGAGAAAGTTCGTCAGGATTTGATGTTGGCCTGAAAAAGTAAAGCGAAGCATCTGACCCAGACAAGGTCCAGATGGACCAGAGCCACGTCGCAGATCTGAGCTTTACCGGTCTACCTGGCCCTGCTCAGCCAAGCTGAAAACGCTGTGTGGGCCTGGGGAGCCTCTGCAGCCTGTGAACTTAGAGCAGCTTGCAAAAATAACCTCTTACTTCGTGCCTGAGAGCTTTCTGCCAGCAAACAAAACGTCCCGTTGGCGTGCAGCAAACCGCAGGCTGCAGCGCCGCGGCAGGAGGGCAGCCCTCACCGAGCGGGCTGGCGAGGAGATAATGCCACCAGTGTCTGTACAGGGCTCCTTCAGCACGTGTTTTAATTTCCTGGCTTTTAAGAAATCAGTTTTGTGTTATAGATTTTATCCTTGTGCTTGGCATGGAGCTGCTTTCACCGATCCCCTAAGGGTCTCCTGGTGCAGCTCCGATGTCGCTGGAACAATGCCTGTGCCCCTGCTGCTCACAAAACCAGGTTTAAATTCAGCAAAGAGGTAAAGTGTTAGGATAACTGATAATAAATAGCAGGCTTTTTATGTGACTGAGTGCCTCGTTCAGTCCTGGACAAAGAGCTGGGGAACTTGTCTCTGGGGACAAGGGATGGAAACTCCTCTTGCTGCAGCCGTTCCCACCCCGCCGTGCTGGGCAGCAGGGGATTTCGGGCAGGTAACGTTAGGGTTGAGAAAGAGCCGGTTACCCGTGTAACTGTCTGCGTGGAGCTGCTTTCCAGGTTTAGTGAAAGCTCGGTGCCGGTTTCAAAAGGAGCTGGTTAATAAGAACATTATTAGCATCTAACGAGCCTTTTTCATCTGGGTGCTCGTAGACGTGAACTCATCGGCACGTGACACGCTTCTGGCTGGGTTACTCCTTGCACAGGCTTCGGGACAGGTCTCTCCTGTTGGTGTGGGAACTGCCCTGAGACGAAGGCTGGATCAGGGTTTGCATGGGGCGCGTGAGGGCAGATCCCTGCTGCCGGCGGCTGCTCCCACGGTGGCAGCGTCCCGCGGAGCCCCAGGGCGCTAGGGGCAAGGCGTGACCTCCGTGGAAACTCACCACCGACAGGCTCAGGAGATGGATAAATTCTCTTTTCTTGAGGGTTCCCTTATGCTATCGGTTCACCTCCTCCTTTTCTTCCCCCGCAGCAGTGCCCACCCGTTTCTCGCACCCAAGCCCGACCCGCACCGAGCACGGTGGTGGCGAGGTCAGGTTGGAGAAGGAGGCAGCTGACGTGTGTGTGCTCCTGCAGGTCACAAGGACTGAGGATGCTCTGGGTTTTCAAGGCTCCCTGGAGCTTCAGGGTCCCAGCTCGACCGCAACACCATGGCCAGGAGCCCCGGGCTGACCCTGTCCTTTTTCTGTCCGTTTCCAGCTGTCCAGGAGGAGAGGCAGCGGGGGAAAGACCGCAACGAGAACGAGGTGGAGTCCACAAGTAGCGCCAACGAGGACATGCCCGTGGAAAAGATCTTGGAAGCTGAACTCGCCGTGGAGCCCAAGACAGAGACGTACATTGAAGCGAACATGGGCTTGACGCCGAGCTCGGTGAGACCCCAATGTCCCCTGGGTCCCATCCTGGCACACGGGGCTGGGCGAGCACGGAGGGGGGGCTCTGTGTTGGTGTAACACCAGCACAGCAGCGAGCCTGGGTCAGGGCAGGGTTAATTTTGGGGAGAAGAGCTGTGCAGGGCTCCGAAATGCAGATGAGCTCAGGTGAAAGGCCGAGGAAAGCAAAGCCCTGCTTGCTGCCAGCATTTCTCTGGCTCAGACACAGCGAGGGGTGCTCTGTCCGGAGCTGCAGGGAGGAACTTGTGCCGTAAGGCGTAATTAAAAGGACTGGAAGGAAAGGTTTTGCTTTACTTAACAGCCAGCAGTGCTAAAAAGCAGGAAGACAGCCCCAGCTCTGACGAGCTCATAGTCCAATCAGGCCCGTAACCAGACCTTGGTGGCTGAAGTGCAGAGAGATAAGGGCTGTAAAACGGGGTGTGACTTTCCAGATGCCGAATTGTACAGCTGCTGGCCTGGAAGAAGAGAAAACCTGCAGAAGGTTGCTCTCAAGTTCCCTTCACATTTGGAAGTCTGTGTTAGAACTGGGCCTGCTGGAAGCAGCAGGGCTCTAACGGGAGCTTGTGCAGGGAGGAGAGAGCTGGTGGAATAGGAACGAGTGGGAGGCTGGGAGGTGGGAAGCTGCCTTGCTGTGCTTTCTTAGATTCCCTTCTCATCAGGTGATAGCCTTGCTTGGAGAAGGCCTCCCTGCAAAGCAGCTGCCTCCAACCTATCCGAAATCTGGCTCCTAGGACAGACCATGCACAAAGCCCTCGTAAAGAGCCTTATTGCAGAGAAAGTACACTTAGGCTAATTGCCCCCACCCCTGCCATACTGAGGGACTGGAAGTCTGAAAGAAAAGGGAAGGAAGGGGGAGAGAAAGAAAATAAATTGTCACCACCCTGTAAGTGCTTTTGGGGCTGGGGTCAGCTGTGCTTGGTTTCCCATTTGCCCAAGGCGATGTCTTCTGGCAGGCACAGGGGAAGCAGCAAGGGGCACTGCTGCTGAAGGGCATCAGCTGGGGCTGCAGAGGGCTTAAATCACCCCAAAACTCAGGGCAGGGAGAGGCTGGAGCACAGGGCATCCCATGGGTCCTGTGGGATGGAGCTGGGCTGGGCGGGCAGGCAGCTGAGAGCAGGAACACGTGGGGAAATATCCCTCTGCTTTCCTTATTGCTCCGTGCTGGGCACCTGTGGGGCTGAGATGACGAAATTCCTGGGAGACGGAAGGCCTCTGCAGTATTTATTTTCTGCTGCAATGCTGCTTTATCTCTTTCTTCACGGGAGGCTGGGGGACTGAGCCGAAATACCGCATCTTGCAGGGCTTAACAGGTCTTGGAGCCAGGCTGCTCCGTGCAGGGATCTGAGCCTTGGCTGCTTCTCTGAGATGCTCTCTTTGGCCTTTACCTGCCAGGGGACTTCATGGCTGGGTCGTGGAGTGAAGTTTTTGCTGTGTAAGGCTTCCTGCTAAGGACAGGGAGGGCTCGTGTGAAGCTCTCCAGCAGCAGATTGAGGGGAAGCTCACCTGCCTCTGTGGCTCCCCATTGCCAGGGTGACCCGAGGGGCTTTTTTTGGAGGAAAGCAGCCCCGCTGTGGTTAGCGGAGGGCTGGGAGAGGCTCTGACTGCTATCAGGATTACAAATACTTCAGGGGAGTTGTAGGCAGCGTTGTGCTGACTTGAAAACAAACCCCAGAGAGCGAGGTGAAATAAATGGCTTCGTCTGGCACTGCGTCTCCTCAGCCTCTTGTAGCAAATTGAAAGCTGGTTCCTGCATAATTCAACACGCATTACTGTGAACAAGGATGTGTGTTGCATCTAAATAGAAGCAGGAGGCTTGTTGAAATGCCCTATTATTGTCGAGCGGCTTCTGTCGATGAGGTGACATTTGTAGCAGGTTTAGCAGATGTATGAGACCAGCAGCGCCGGGGACGAGGCCACCGGATGAGGCGAGGCAAGACGGAGGAGCTGCCCTCCTCCCAGCCCTCCCCAGAGGGCTGACGTGATGGAGAGGCAGGCAAATTCAGTCCCTAATAGACACGGGGTAAAATACAAGCTGTTTCCCATCAGCCTGATGCGTTGGGTCCTTTGATTTGTGCCCCCACACCTTTGCACGTCTGCTTTGAGCGCAGCCTGGGGAGCAAGGACCAAGCAAGAGCAGGCTTGCAAGGACGTTTCCACCGTGCTGTGCCTGGCTAGGATGGAGGTGGCAGCACACAGACGGAGCTAACACCTTCCTCTCCCAGCTGGTCTCATGTCTGTGACTGTCACCTTACTGCCATCGTCCCCCCTTGGCTTTGCAGGCTGGCACCGGCGCTGGTTTTGGCCACCTAGCCGAGCGTGGCACCAGCCGTGGGGCTTTGGCACAGTTATTGCAGCCGATAAAAGGGGAGGGCAGGGGTGGGCCCGTGGTTCTAGGGCAGTGCCAAGCCTCGGCGTTTCGATAAGCATCACTGAGACACTCCTAATTGCAGTGGGGAGCCCCCAACAACAGCTCTGCAGCCGCCGCAAATAGCTGCTAATTGGCAGAGTTGGCAGGCTGCTGACCGTGGCAAAAGGGATAAAGCCCCTGGGAGATTCCCACAAGCTTTCGGTGACTGTTGCTGCAGGATTCATCCACGTTGTGTCCCCGAAATGCCCGTGTCACCCCCCTGCCCCTCGGGACGGTCTGGGCTCCTGCTGTGTAATCACCACCTTGGATGGGCTCCTGGCCACCGAAAAGCAGAGCCTGTAACTGAGAGATGTTATTCCCGTTAATCGGCCTTTAGCAGCTGGTTTCAAGTCACCGTTTTCTGGAAGATGTCTCCAAGCTCCAGTTTTCCAGCAGGATCAGGTGCCCGCGTGTCCTTTCCTTCTGTCACACTCCGGCACCGTGCCCTTGCTATTTACTGCAGGAGGGGATTTGCTTTCTGTGCGCGGGGATGGTTTCTAGCAGCACGCCGTAGATCCCGTCCTGGATTGAAGAGGGGCCCTCCAGCCCGCGGGGACGACACTTTTAGCTGCCTCTCAAGCTACAGCAGTTAAAATTCTGCCAGGAAGCGCCGCCGTGGTTCCAGGAACTGCGATCTGAGGTGTAATTAAAGGCTGGGCCCCTCGCTGTGGCTTCGGATGGTGCCGAGAGCCGAGCACAGCTCATGCCGCTTGCGGAGCGCCGGGGCTGTGGGAGCAGAGCTTGGTTTGCTGCATCGAGGCGAGTGCTGGAGGCAACCTGCCCAAAAGCAATCCTTTGGGAAAAACATCCAACTTTCCTAAAATACCACTTCGCAGCCACCTGTTGCCCCGCGGGTCAGGTTCAGCAGGGGCACGCGGTCTCCCCAAAGTCGTGTCCTGCTCCAGGGCACGCAGGGCTCCATCCCTCTCCTGCCCCACGGGATCCAGGATCTCCAGCTGGCCTCTGACCGAGCCTGGGGGCTCCTTGCAGCCCCTCTCCCATGCCAGCTCTGGTCCCCAGTGCTCACAGTATGGTTACGCTGGGCTGAGCCACAGCCAGTGCAGGGTGCCCCCTCCCAGCCCTCCTGCAGACACCTCTGGGTGCTGCCATTCCCCTGCTTCCAGTGAAAAGCTCCTGCAGAGCTCCTCCTTGCACCCAGCTTAGGGTTTTCCTATTGTCCAGAGGAAATCTGCCCTCCTTCCCTCCCTCTCCTGGCGAAGAACCCAGTCCTGGCTCACTTCTTCCCCAGGGATGAGCCCCAGCTCCCCTAGAGCAGGACCCCCCTGTGGCTGCACCCTTTGGGGAGCTGCTGGAGTGAGGAGGGGAAAATCCCCTTAACGATCTCCCTGCTCTGCAGCTGCACTGCTGAACTCCAGCCCAGCCCATCCATCTCTGCAAGCAACAGGTGAAAATACTTCGAAGGCGGGTGCCCCCCTGCTTGCCAGATGCTGGTTATTTTAAGCCTGGAGAAGGGGAGACTGCTGGCCACTGAGGCACAGAGGTGGTGTTTGCTGCCAGGGGATGGCAGAGTGCCCCAGGCAGGGGTCCCTGGGAACAGCTCCGTGGCGCAGAGGGAGGCGTTCGTGTGCCTTGGGCTTTTTCCCTTTCTCACCTCCCTTTGGTTTGTGAGTGCTCGGTCAGCTCTCTCCTAACACAGCCAGCAAGGAAAGCAAGGAGAAGAAGCGATAACCTCCAAGATGATTTATTCTTCAACCTCCTTCCTTTTTTTCCCTTTACAGTCCCATAGGGACCAGCTCATCGCTGGTGGCATGTGCGCTGTGGTGGCATCCCCACCTCCTGCTCCCTCCGTGCCACCCGGCGAGCAGCAAGCACCTCTGCCCTGCTGGGAGAGGTGCTTGGGTACGGGGCCAGCAGGAGGGGAATGGCCTCATCCTGGGCTGGTTGCAGGGGGAGCTGGTGTAGGGTCAGCTCCTGCCTCGGCTGTGCACATTCCGTGCTCCGTCCCCGTGCGATCCAGAGGTGCAGTAAACGCTCCTCCTCCAGCTTTGAAACTGCTCTTTTAAGGCCATGGAAGAAAAATAATTGCATGATCAAAGCTGCTAGGTATCAGCAGGGATTACGGCGGGATGTGTGGAGGGGCTCATACATCCCTGTCCAGAGAGGTAAACCATATATACACACTTGGACTAGCGGGGTCTGTCTTCGCCGGGGTTAGACGGTCTCTTCCAGTTCCTAATCACGAGCCCACTTGAGCTGTTAGCAGTTCCTTTAAACAGGGATTTGGTGTGTTTAGGCTGACTGTCCTCCTTGAGAGCAGATGGTTTTTGTTACTGGATAATATTTCAAAGGGAAGGGTTTTTTCGCTTTTTCTGTAATGCCCCCTCCGTTGCTGTTTGGTGGGGCTGGGAGGTGCTGGCAATGGGAACGTGGACGCTGCACGGCCACGGGGTCCTGTCCTGCCCGAGGAGCGAGCTGGTTGCTTGCTTGGTGTGATGGGTGCTGGGTCTCAGCACACCTGGGTCCTGTTCTGGAGCTCGCTAAAACCAGCAAGAGGCATGTGGAGGTGAAGCCAAGCCACCTCCTCTCCCTAAAACTGCGAGCATCCGCTTGTGGGGTCTCCCGAATTTGGCGAGCCCCTTCGCTGCTCCTCCAGCCTCTCCTCTCCTTCCTCTTCCTGAGCCTTTCAATCTCCTTCTCTTCGCAGCCCAATGACCCGGTGACGAACATATGCCAGGCAGCCGACAAGCAGCTCTTCACCCTGGTGGAGTGGGCCAAGAGGATCCCTCACTTCTCCGAGCTGCCCCTGGACGACCAGGTCATCCTGCTCCGAGCAGGTGAGTGCAGCCCCGCAGGTGCCGCGTCTCTCCAGCGACGGGCATGGCGCTGAGATTTAGGCAACTCGCAAGCCATTAGCTGGTTCTGAGTAACAGCCTCTGATAATTCAATCGCTAAATAGGATTTCAAAAGCCCCCGGGGGACGCGTTGCTGAACGTGATCCAAAATGTTGCACCAGCTGCCAATCGGCTTAAAAAATGTCCCCGCTCCCTCGCGGATGAGCGAGGTGCTCGGAGATGTGCGCTGGGTTCCTCCCGAGCTGGGACTTGAAAGGACAAGAAGGGGGCTTGGGACCCCGCGAAATTTCATCGGACTACGGCGTTTGATCATAATGAAAACCAGAAGGAGGAGAAAAATATATCAGCCTCCCTCTCCCACCCACCAAGATGAAAATAAAAGTCTTCGGGTTTATTTTAAATTTCCTTATGCTGCAGGGGGTCTGCAGGAACGGAGGCGTTGGGAGGTTGCAAGCAGTTAGCTGGGAAAAGGGTCTTCTTTGCAAGCCCCAGCTGCTGGCAGGTTATACACAAAGACTGGGGGGAGCAGGAAAGCAAGAGCAGACTTGAGGAGGATGCATTTTAGGTGTGAAGCTCTTTGTGTAGCTCCCGTGATGAGATAAGTGATTAAAAGGGCTTTGGCTCGATGCTCCCTGAAACAGAGGGGCAGGCAGGTTGTCAGTGGGACTTGGGAAACCGTTTCCAGCAAATGGCAAACTCCGTGTGAAGGACAAAACAGGGAAAGGAATAAAAAGACCTTGGCGTTTGGCTGCAGCACCCAGTGCTCAGCTCGGCAACGAGAAAAACCAACCTGGACTTCCAGAGGTCAGGAATTACGGAGAGCCTCAGGGCAGGGTGATCGGGTGAACTGTGCAGCTGAACCCGAGCAAGCCCAGGATGCTGAAATCCCTGGCAGTTTTAAAGTTCCTCTTCTTTCACCGAAATGCACTTTTTATAGGCAATTTTAGAGGGGAAAGCCCTGCAGGGTGTGTGCACCCTGTCCTCTCTCTGCCCTCCTCTGCCCTCGGGTGAGCAGCCCCTGTAGAAGGGACACTGCTGCTCCACCTGGTGACTTTCTGGCTTCTCTCCTGTTTGGAACGTGCATGCCCCGAATAAATGCCTTTGAAATTGGGCAGCAAAACGCTTGGAGAGCCAGGTGCTCCTCAACTCGAAACGCAGGAGCTAGCTCAGCCCAAGGGCTGTGCAGGTTGCTTCAGGAGGAGGTAGAAGAAGGGCTCCGGAGTAGGACGCTGACGGGATCGCTGTTTCCTTCTCACCACGCAAACACCAGCTGTCACTCTGTTTAATAACACCGACTGTTGCCCAAATGCACGAATCTTGGAATTTCTGCGATTTCTTGTTGCCTCTCAACCAGCATCACTGCGTACGTACAAATACCCCGGCCCTCTCGCAGCCCCTCTGCAGTCCTTGGCAGTGATTTTGGGGCGCTGAAGCCGCGCTGTTTACTGCTGTGGGTTTTCCACCCTTCTAGTTTTACTGAAATACGAGTTTATAGGCATGTTTTGTCTCGTGGTTACAGCGAGAGGCTAGGAAGGGAGCCTTTGGGGGGTTTTGTTCTCCTGTTGGCCTCGCTCCAGGCTTGGGCAAGCCCCATGGCCTCACCGGACGGCTGCCGCCAGCCTCCTGGGGGAGGTTTTGAGGATTGGGGGGGGTTCCTGGCGCTGGCTGGGGGCCCTCTCTGGAGAACACAAAAAACATGGTTTTGAAGAGGGTCTCCAGAGCCTCTTGAGAGCGTGGATGAGCTGAGGGATGTCTCTGCAGTGGGCTTTGAAATGAAGGCTTTCTGCAGGGATGGCAGGGAAGGACTGGACGCAGACAAAAAGCTGCCTTTTCCTTTTGTGGGGCGGAAACAAAACCCGCGACAATAATTCAAGGTTTCCTTTTCTCTTGAGAAGACGGCTGAGGAAAGCTGAACCGGAGGCTTTCTGACCCCATGTTCTCTCCTCTCTGTTGGTGCTTATCGTGGCCGGCCCTGAGCCGCATCCTTTTGGGGCCGCTCGTGGGGTGTGAGCAGACCCCATTGCATCCTGTGCTTTTACCAGGACCCCACAGCTCAGCACCAGGAGCAGCCCCCGTGGGCTTCCCGCTCCTAGCGCCTCTGCCGGGGCCTCAGATAACCTCCCCCAAGTCTTTTAAGCTGTGGCTCCATCTATTATTGAGTGGCGAGAGCGGCCTGCGGAGAACAGCTGCCCATGAAATATTTAAGGATTAAAAATTTAGCTAAGAGCGTCAGCCGGGCTCGCTCAGGCGTCCTCGGAGGCAGAGCTAAGTGGAGCACGCGGAGCGGTGCTGGGTGGGCCGCCAGCAGCTCTCCTCCGTCATCCTGAATCATTTACAAACCTTCCCTCTTCCAGCTTTTTGGAGGAGAAGGAAACCCAACTTTTGAACCCCGTTTTCCCTGGATTTTCCTTTTCTGCGTCAAGGCCAGCCCGGCAGGGGCTACGTCTCCGGTTCGTTTTATAGGGCCACGAGGGGAAACGTGGCAATGAGGTGAGCTCACGTGGAGGTCGCTGTGCTGCCAGGTGCCTTTGGGTGCCCTGGGCCACCCAAAGCATCCCTGGGGGGGCTGCAGCCACCTCGTTTGAGGGGCAGCCCCAAGCCACCACCTCTCCTCCGTCCTCCTTGGGTTTCGCAATGCTGCAATCCCGCTGCCGAGTGCCAGGCCTCGCCCAGTAAATAGGCAAGTAAATGCTCCCTTGATTGGGGTGGAAACATCCTGTGGCCACTCAGGGAACAGTGAACTTTATTCCTTGTCAACATTTCTAACGGCGCAGCCCATCTCTGCCGCAGCAAGTAAATACGGCACACGTGGACCTTGTATTTGTGCCAGTCAGGGAGAAAAGGCATGCTTCTGTGGCAGGAGAGATGAAGGATATACCTGCATCGCTTTTCCAGCCTGGGAAAAAAATAGATAAATTGAATATCCTGAGATTTTGGACCCTGCCAAGCAACCCTGGGTCCTGGACGTGAGAGCAGTTTCAGGCTGGGCGCATCAGCCCCGCGATGAGCGTGAGCCTTCCCGGGGCTGCAGAAAACCCATCCTGCCTTGTCAGAGACACCTCTCCTGGCTGGAAGTCACCCAAACGTCAACCCTTCAACCTTTGCAGCGTTTCTTCTTGTTAGGGGGTTGTTTCAGGCGTTTCTGAGCTCAGCTTTATGTGTGAAAAAGGGATGAAAGGGGAGCTGGAGCGCGGGGAGGGAAGTCGCGTCCTCCTCCTCCTCCTTCCCTTCCCATCTGAGCTGCTTCAGACCCCTTCTGCGGGGTCCAGGCTCAGAGGACACGTTGTCCTGTCACCCAAAGTGCTATATCCAGCAGGAAGGCACAAGCTGATGTCCAAGTGGCTGTCACTGGCCGGGTCATGGTATGGGACATCCATGCCGTGGCACGGTGAGGGGAGCGCCGCCCTCTCCAGATGCCAAGTGACAGAACCTCGCCTCTCTGCGAGGGTTTTCAGGGTCCCTGTTTTAGCAGAGAATGAACCTCTGTGCCCCATTAGGGCTTGAAAATGAGCCCAATTAGCTGATAGGAAGCGTTAATAGCTCTTCAACTGCTCAGAGGCAGGGAATAGGAGGTCAGACCAGGGGCTCGGCACCCACTCGGGGGTTCGCAGAGCAAGGAGCAGGCAGAGGGCTGTTTGCACCCCTGCCTGCAAGGTTTTGAGAGGAAACTGCTTCTCTTGTTAGCGTTATATTTTTAGTCCATTTGTTCCTTAGCAAGCTTTTCCTTCCCTTACATGCACAAAAGGGTCGGCTCCCCCCACTGCCATCCCGCAGCCAGCCTAGGGACCCCAGCAAAGGCGTCGTCTCTCGGGTGCCTTCCTCCTCTCTTAGCCCTTAGTGCCAGGGATCCCTGAACCCATTGAGGACCCCATGGCTCTAACCCGCGGCCTTGGTTGTTTTCTCCTCCCCAGGGTGGAATGAGCTCCTAATCGCCTCCTTCTCCCACCGCTCCATAGCCGTGAAAGACGGGATCCTCTTAGCCACCGGGCTCCACGTGCACCGGAACAGCGCGCACAGTGCTGGCGTCGGGGCCATCTTTGACAGGTGGGAAGAAAGGGATGGATGGTAGGGGAAGGGATCTCAATCCCTCTTGTCTAGATGTCCCTGTGCCAAGGCGGGTGTCCCACGTCCCCATGTGCAGGCGGAGGAGCGGCTCCCAGCCGCCAAATCCGTCCCACGACGCCCGGTGCCCACTCTTGGACCCGCAGAAAGCACCAAGCAGTCACTTTGGGACTGCCCGGTGCAACGCAGAGCTTCTTTGCAGGTGCCTCCTCGCCTGAACCAGGGGGCTGCTCCTTTCTTTCTTTTCATCTTTAGTCAGACCAAGACCTGAATTTGTTTTCTCAGTAAAAAAAAAAAAAAAAGCCCCCCAGACAGCCGGCAGGTTCCGCATGCGTGTCCCAAGGGCTCATTAATCTCGTGCTTTGGAAAAGCGTTTTCAAGCGAGGCTTCCAGCGTGTGTGACCCGCAGCGTGGCTCCAGACGCTGCGTAAATTGCGGCTGATTTCTCTGCCCGAGACTCATCTCGAGGTGCCTGAGCTGGAACCAAGCCGCTTTTGCTTTTTCGCTTTGCAAGGAAATTGCTCTTCGGGTGACATCATTTGTTTCCTGTGAGGTCATGAGTGCAGGATCATGACTTCACTGCAGGACCCAACAGGAAAAACTGGGCAATCAGTGGAAAATATTTCAAGACCGGCACCTGCAGAAAGAGCAAAGGGAGTAATAAAAATTACCGGCAGAGGAAATTGCTTTTAGATACCTGCTTTTTTTATTATTATTTTTTATTTTTAGGCAGCTTTCTCAGGTGCCAAAGCTTCTCAGTGAATGCACGGAGCCAGTTTTTACGGTCCCTGCTGTATCTCACAGGAACTATCGATGTTCCTAATGAGCTATTTTTGATACAGGAGGAAAATGAGGGCATATCCTCAGCTGGTATAAATGAGCCCCGTCCCATGATTTTATTAAACGTGCGCCAGCAGACCTCGCTCTGGGCCTGACACCTGCTTTTTGGGGTTTTCTTTTTTTTTCCCTTTTTCTTTTTAATGCTGACGCCTGTGATTTCTGTGTCCTTTGCAGAGTACTGACAGAACTCGTGTCAAAAATGCGAGACATGCAGATGGACAAGACAGAGCTCGGCTGCCTGCGAGCCATTGTCCTCTTCAACCCCGGTACATGCGGTTACCTCCTCTCCATGCCCCACACCTCCCTCGGCTGATGCTGCATCCTTTGGGCTCCTAAAAACGAATGTAGACATCCTTTCAGGCAAAAAAAATCAGGGCAAAATCAGAACAGAGGTGTTATTGCCCTCTGTTCCCTGATCTCAGTATCCACAGGGGTTTATTAGCTGGCTTTCTGGAAAGTCCTCTGCAGAGCCTGGAGAGGGTGAAAGGCACGAAACTTGCTCCTAAAACACACAAGAACTTTTTTGTCTGCAACTGGCTTAGATTTACAGAGTCCAGCAGGCTTTCCCGTTGACTGCAGGGGCAGGGATTGCTGCTGGGGGTTATCCCTGCCCTTCCTGCGAGCCTTTGGTGCACTGGGAGGTGGCTGCTGTCCTGTAGATGCCCCTCCTGGGGCTTTCCCTGCATTTTAATGTGGCTCAGTGCAGGGCAGAAGCAGACGTGGCCGAGGACAGAGGTGCTCATTTGGGGCCCCCCCTCACCTCCCTGCTCTCCGCAGGAGCAGGTTTTGTGCCCAGGCACTGCTCGGTCCCTGGCCTTTCCCACCGTCCCCACGCCAGGCATTCCAGCAGGGTTCAGTGCCGTGTCTTGTTTTTGTTGTTCTGTTTGACTTTTTTTTTTTTTCCCCTCGTAATCACCAGTAATTTATTGTCTGTAATTTGGGATTAGCCCTGTATGGTAAAGGAAGGGGGATCTGGAGAGGTTCCCACTGCGCATGTGCCTGGGATATCGATGGCCTGGCTGTCCCTTTCCCCCTGCTAAAACCAGCTCCTTGCCACCTCAAGGGACATTCTGGAGTAGGGACTTTTCTTACAGCCCCACTGCAGTGCTTTGTGTTAGAGGGAGAAATCCCCCAAGCCCGTGCCTCGATGGGGTCTTAAAGCCTTTGAGGTCTGTGACCACTGCAGAGAGCCCAAAAGGTTGGGACTGGGATACGAGGTGGGGTAAAATGGGTCTTCTGTGGTCACAGGGCAAACCTTTTGGGGCTTGAATGCCTCGGGAAGGTATCGGGGTCCTGCTGGAGCACTCAGGGTGCAGGCACCAAATCCAGGTCCTGCCCTGCACTGGTTTGCACTGGGGGTGCTGGGAGGGGTGGAGGTGGCTGCGCACCTGGGAGGGGTGCACAGGGAAGGGGTGTATGGGGAGAGGGTGTATGGGGAGGGGTGCCTCGCCTCCCCGCACACCTCGAGGCTCCTGGCTGATGCTTCTTCCCTTGCCTTTCAGACTCGAAAGGTCTCTCCAACCCGGCCGAAGTCGAGGCGTTACGGGAGAAGGTGTACGCATCGCTAGAGGCGTACTGCAAGCACAAATACCCCGACCAGCCCGGGAGGTGAGTTGCTGCTGGCTGTGCCCCGTCCCACAGGCACAAAACCCCGTGCTGGGGGCACTGCAGCCCCTTGGGGGGAGGTCCCGGTGCCATCCTCAGGGCTGCAGCCCGCAGCGTGAGGGTGCTGGGTCCCGTCTGCACCGGGCTCTCGCTCTGTTCCTGCATCTTCTGGGAGCGAGCAGCTCTCTGCAGAGGCAGCTGCTCATTTCTGTCCCCCCTCCAGCTGTGAAAATCCCCCAGAGGAGTGGAGAGAGGTCCTTAGCCCTGTGCTTGCAATCACCGAGGATGGGCTTTGGGTGTTGCCGAGGAGCCCCAGCTCCTCCTGGGCTGAGCGCACGGGGGCAGGGGTATCGTTTCCCTTTTGGAAACCACGGAGAGCAAACCACAGAGCAAACAAGACACACACGGAGTTAATTTTCAGTGGCAGATGAGCATCATTGCTGGGAAGTGAAAGCCTCAATTGATGCTCTCTTCTCCCCTCCCTGCCTCCCCCAATCCAGCTGGGAATGGGAGGGGGAATTAGGAATGCTTTCCTGGAGCTCTCCGGAGCTGAGTGGGCGCATTTTCCCAGTTACAGCCTGAAGCTGGCGACTGCCAGTTCAGTTACTGACTGTCATTTGAGAAACCAAGCGAAGCACTGGAAACTGCTGCCGGTTTGTATCGCTGCTGAGGCTCAAATGCTGGGAAAAACAGCCCCAGCAACCGGGATTTGCATCTCACCTGCATTCCTGGTCTTGCTGGTCTGGGTGGTTCAGAAAAACAAGGATGCGCTTAAGCAGCGAGTAAAGCGAACAGAGCAGAGCCTCGGGAGTAATAGTGGGCCTCTTTTTTCTCCCTTTTGGGTATCAAAGTGCTGGCAGATGAAAAAAGACAAGGTTGTTCAGAGGTTTCTAGGATGTTCGTGGCTGGCTTGTGGAAGAGAAAGGTCCTGTTGGGTGTTCTTGATTTTGGCAGTGGTGAGGGAAATGGGAGAGGAGCTCAGGGCAGGGACGATCGCCTCTGGTGCCCTGAGCAGTGTGCATGGACCCCAGGCTGACTCCAGAGTCGAGTCCTCTTCCTGTAAAACGTGATTGAATTGCACCTCCTCAGCAAATCCCTGGCTCCTGGACTTGGCAGCTGCGGAGTTTCAGGAGATCTCTGTGCCTCTTTGGGCTCGGAGCGGGCAGCCGGCCGTAAATGGCACGAGGAGAGCTGCGCTGGGGAATGCAGCCAGCAGCTCTCCGGGTTATTCCCCCGCTGGGAAGCGCTCTTAGCCTCGCACAGGCATCCAGTGTGTGCCGCAGCTCTCGCTGCCTCATTCCTGGCCGGGGGGCACCGGGTAGGGGGATGCCGTGGGGACAGCCCCCGGGAGCGTGCGGCTGCTTTTCATGGACCAGAAAAGCACCGTGAAGCTGCTGGGCACCCCTGAGGAAAGTCGCTGAGGCACCACCCAAATGTGTGCCCCCAGGGGCAGCCCTGGTGATGTGGGAGCTTTGTGGATCCCAAAGCCTGCAGCAGGGGCTCTGCTTGTGGGCTTTGAATGACCTCGGGGAGCTCCTCGTGTGATCTTCACACCCTGCTTCGCCTAAAACCTTTAAGGGTAATCCTTGAGGGCTGTACCTAGGAGCTACACTGAGCATTTCTTGCCTTGCTGCCTCTCCTTTCCAGCACAGGACCGGGGTGCAACAAGCCCCAGCGGCTGGGGAGGGTTAACCGGTGGGCTGGGAGGCCGGGGTTGCACAACAGCGAAGGGAAAGGCTCTCAGGAGCTCTCTCCATCTTCCTGGTCTCATGGCACAATGTGATCACCATCTGGGGCTGGAAACAAGTTCTTCCTGTGGTTGAGCAAACGCACGGAGCAGCGTCGTGGGCGCCGCACATCCTCCCCTGCTCCCCGCCACGGTCAGCGCTGAGCCCCCAGGAGTGCCCCACGGCGCACGCCTTCAGCCTCAAACCAGCCCTCGGGGGCTGCCGGGCACCCTGCAGACACCCAAAAGGAACTTGTCTGGGGCAGCAGGACGAGGGGAGGCGTTCCTAGGAAAAACCGAGCCGTGCTGCCCCCCACGCCACCCCCTGCTCCTTCGCCAGGGGGGCACGGGGTGTACGTGCCACGGAGCAGCCACAGGGAAGCGGGGCCGATTCCTCCCCTGGCACGGTGCTGTGCTGCGGGCTGGTTATCTCACGGTTAAACGTATCGGAGGGCTGCAGCCATCATCTGGTTTGGTTTAAAGTGAAACTTCCTGAATGGGATGGTAGGACTGATTTGTTTTTCCTGGCTCCGGTCCCGCTGTTCTCGCCAGCTCAGCAGAAAAAAAAAAAAAAAAAAAAAAAAAAAAAAAAAGGAGGAAAAAAAGAGAAAGAGAAGTGTGCATGCATGTATAATATCGGTATGTTTGTGCTTGTCTTTCTCTTCTCTGTGTTCTCTGAAGTCCCCTTCTCCCTGGGCTGGCTCGGTTCTGGCCTTTGCTTGTGTCGAAGCCTGAATTGTGCAGCAGTAAAACCAAAAAAAAAAAGTGCTGCCAGCAATTAAAGGGCCTCTCTCCCATTCTGCACGCCGGGACGCGTGCCCTCCAGCTGGCTGTGCTGCCCGCCGTGGGGTGCGGGTGGGCAGGGTGGGGGCACCCCTGGGTGTCCCCAGCGGGGGCTGCAGGGTGGGCGCAGGGCTCGGTGGGCGCCGGGAGCCGGCTCGTGCAGCTGCGGTCGGCTCTCCCCAGCCCCCCTGGCTCTCCCCTCCTTGCTGTCAGCGCTCTTTGCGAGCCTGGTGGGTGCGACCTGAAAAGCGTCTCCGTCGGGCGGGCCAGGGGAGAAAGGGCTTTTGTTCGGCTGGGGCTCGGCTGAGCCCCGTGCGCCGGGCGGGGAGAAGGGGAGCCGGGGGCTGGCACCCCGTGTCCGGGCTGGTTTGCAGCCCTGTCTTCAGCTTCTGCTTCCAGAACTCCCGTCAGCTTGCTTCCATCATCTTCAACCCCGCAGCACCTTCAGCACAGGGCTCAGCCGGGTTTTGGCCATGCAAGAAGCCCCCCCAGGGCTGCACGGAGCTGCCTGGGAGGTGCCCGCTGCCCGCAGCAAAGCGGCATCAGGCAGCAGGAGCTGGCCCCCACTGCACCTCCTGCATCCCCTGGCTGCAAGCAGAGAGCAAGCAGGCCATGAGCGGCCTGCAGCACTCCTTGGGTGCTTGTAGGGACCCTCGTAGGTCCCTTGTAGGGACACCACAAGCACCTCGGGGTGCTGGCTGAGTGGTGCAGCCCGTGCATGGCACAGACGCATGGAGCCGGCTGTGCGCCCCAGCCCAGGGATGTCCCTTCACGTCACATTTTCTCTCTGTGTAGCTACCAGCAGATGTTTGTTGTGAATACCCACCGTGAGCGCCTCATCTTCAGGGCTGGGGACGTAATTAATGATTTCCCATAATTTCTCTGCACAGCTCTGGGTGTGCAGCCCAGAGCTTTGGTAGCAGAAGGTTTGGTTCCGCGCGGGAACAGCCACAGAAGCTCTGCAGGTCGGGGCTGCTGGAAGGACATCTAACCGTGTCGTGTCTCCTTCCCCTAGGTTCGCCAAGCTCCTGCTCCGGCTCCCTGCCCTCCGGTCCATCGGCCTGAAATGCCTGGAGCACCTCTTCTTCTTCAAGCTAATAGGCGACACGCCGATCGACACCTTCTTGATGGAAATGCTGGAAGCGCCCCATCAAATGACTTAGAGAACTGCTGCTGGGTCAGTCCCTCGCCCGGCCGGGGCCTCGCGGGGCTCCGTCCTCTGCTTTCTCCTCCTCCAACCCCAGCCCCTTCCCCTCCTGCCCTCCCCGATGCTGGAGGCACCGTCCGAGCTTCTCCGCGCGCTCCCCGGGGCCACCCCCCCGACGTCCTCGCCGCCTCGCCACGTTGACCCTTGTCCGTTTGCTGTCACTGCTGCGTCTAAAGACCTGATCCGCTGTTGCCCTGCGGTAGATGTAGAGAAGTGGGGGACGGAGAGCTTTGCGCCGGCCGCCGCGGCGCCCCGTGCCACGGGAGCTGGCGACGGTGCCGGCCGGCCGCGGTGGCCCTTTTGGGCAGCGGGGGTTTTGAATGAGCTGAGGGAGTGGTTCGGCTCACCGGATTGCAGCTGGCTATTTTCAGAGGATGGAGGTTGGTTGTTTTTTTTTTTTTTTGAAAAAGAAAAAAAAAAAAAAAAGAAAAAAAAGAATTCTATTTTTGGTTTCTAACTGTTATTAGTAGTCTCGGTAGTTACTTCGCGCAGGGAGAGGCGGCCCTTACCGTGCCCCGTCAGTGAGTCACCCGTGGCTGCGCAGAGCCTTCTCCTTTCACTTCAAAGCAGAGGATTTGGGATTGAGCTAAATCCCCCCTCCAAACACCCGGTGGCCACCCCAGGGCCCCAGACACCACTGCTCTCAGGCCAGAGCTGCCCACAGACACGAGCACAGGTCCGGAGCGCTTGCTTTAAGGCTGTTTGGGACACGGCATCGCCCTTGCTGGGGTCCTGCCAAGACCCCTGCCCTCCCAACTGCCCCCAGCATCCCAGCATGGCCCTGCTCACCAGGCACCATCCTGCAGGACCCCTGCTCAATTTAAGGGCTGTTGTGTTGGAGCAGCAGGGGCCGGTGCCCTGGCAGTGCTCCCTGTTTGGTGTTTTGGTCCTGCCCTGCTCCAGGTTGGTTTTGGGTTTCTGGCTGCTGGGGTGAGCTCAACAAAGCACCCACCACCCTGACTGCGCCCTCACGGGGGTTTGGGCTCATCCAAGAGCTTGTTGATTCAGCAGCCGTGGTGCAAAACACTGCAGGGCAACAATTAGTGGGAGCGTTTGGTAATTGTGGATGTTAATTAGCGGTGAAGCAGGAATGGGGCTCCCCCTCCCCACATCTCCCCATTTGGGCAGCGACGTGGGGCTGGGAGGTCCTGGCTGGAGGGGGATGCCCGGCAGGGACAGGAGGTCAGCCCGGAGTGCCCGTCCCCAACACCTCACCTTTCACTTTAATCAGGTGTCCCCAGATCCTGCCTGAGCAAACGGGTTAAAAAAACAGAGCAGAACGAGCTGGGAAGGCTCCTGGGGAGGATTTCCCCCCCCTGCAGCCGGACAGGACGGTCCTGAGCACATCCCAGGGCGCTGAGAGCCAAGGATGAGGTGCCTGCGGTTGGCTCCAGGCCACTTTCACGTCTGCTGTGCCCCAAAGCAACAGAGCATTAGGTCCCAAAGAGAGGTGGCTCTCCGTTCCTCCCCGGGGGCTGTAGCTGCCCCCTCAAACAGCCGCTTTGTGCCTGCAGGGGGACGGAGCAGCCCCCGCCTCTGCTTTGGAGAGGACACAGTTGTCACCAGCCTGGCGGCTCCATCCCCTGCAGTTAATAAGGCCATCTCCTCGCCGGGTAAATACTCAGGATTTCAGGTCGTAACTTTGCCTTAGGCTGGCCTGAAGTGGCGAATCCGCAGAGGCGGGGAAGGAGAAGCGTTTTGGCTCTGGTTCTCCAGCAGCCTGCATGCCGCCGAAAATATTATTAAACAGCTTCACCCTGGAAGAATTTGCCAAGAAAACTAGGCGAGAGCAACGAAATCCAGCGAGGGTGCCAGTAAACACGAGCAGGCTGCTCCTTGCCAGCACAGCGCTCGCGCACGCCCGCGCGCGGTGGCCAGGGACTGGCAGCACCCGGGGGGCTCGGTTGGAGCCGGACGGTCCCCGGGGTGAGGAAGCTTTGTGGAAGAGTCTCTCGACCTTGCACTATGATAAACCCGAGCTGTCGTTCGTCTCCCTTGGGTAGAACCACTTGATGTTTTTTTGTTTGTTTGTTTTTTTGCTCGGTGAGTTTTTGGAAGGCGGTCCGTGAGCAGGTACCCCCAGCCCACCCCAGCCCCTCCTGCTTTTAACTCAATATCACTTAAAACGCCGTGAGCAGCGGGGTGTCCTCAGCAAAAAGCGTGGTGCAAAGGGGAAGGCTCTGCCAGCAAGGGGCTCTCGGTCAGGATGTGTGTCTCTGTGCCTCAGTTTCCCTGCCGGGGCGGTGCATTGCCGTGATATGTGCCCCCCACCCATGGAGGAGGGTTTTGGGGAAGGGCTGAGCACCAGCCTGGACCTCGTGCTTTCGGCAAGTAGTCGAGGGAGCTCCCACATTGCTGTAAATCCGCATGGCTGCTGCTTTTAGTAGAGCTCCTCCGATCCACACCAGCAGCTTTCGGGGTGCTCAGCAGGTCCTGAACACGACCACGGGTGCTCAGCCCCCTCCCCGAGCACGACCCCTGCCCACCCGCCCAGGGTCACTGGTGCAGCCGTCCCCAGCAGGAGGAAAAGCTTCTGTGCGTCCCCTGACATCTGCCACAGCAGCCTTAAAGCAACGTGCTTGTGCATGAGTTTGAGTCTTTCATTTGTATCCTTTTTCACTTTTTTTGGCTTTTTATTTTATTTTTTTTTTCTTCCTCACCATAATATCTATAAATATATTACACGCTTGTTTGAAGAGGTGATACGTGGGTAAAAGAAAAAAAAAAAAAGGCACATTATTCGCTAGAGAGGTAGGACTTTCATTTAACCAGATCTTAGTACTCCCGCAAAAATCTGGTTTGATTAGGGTGATCTATTTTTTTCAATTTTATTTTTTATGGTTTAAATTTCCTTTTTTGTTGGTGGGACAATCTTTAATTTTCTAAAGATAGCACAACCATCAGCTTTTCAGCCACCCCGGGCCGTTCCTCGCTGCCTTCTCGTGCGCCGCCGCGGGTCCCACCTGAGCCATGGGCACGTTTCAGCTCCCCCCCTGCACGACCGTGGCTCAAGAGCTGATGCTGTCCCCATCAGTGACTAGCGTGCATGATCTGTTTTAAGTTGATACATATGTGCGTGTGTATACATGTATGTACTGTAGATATATACACTGTATAAATATCCTCACTCACATATACATATATTATAACCGTAGCAATTACAGACTTTTTGTTTTAAGTCAATTCTTTTTTTCCTGTTTTTTTTTTTTTTCCTCTCGTATGTTTTTTTTTTGCTTCATGTCAGCGAGTACATTGTATCTGAAGCCCTTTCCGAATTGGCGTACGCCAAATCTGGATCTTTATGACTCGAGACAAAGGAAATGCATCTATTTTAAGATGCCCTTTTTTGTTGTTTGTTCTTTTTTTTTTTTTTTTCTTTCTTTTGAGCAGCAGGTGGTTTTGAGTAAAAAAAATAGCTTTAGCAATTCCCAATACTTAGTGATGGATGCCTTGGCTATGGGTTGCATAGCTAAAAAAAAATAAAAATAAAATACATTTAAAATTTAGAATGACAAAAAAAAAAGAGAAAAGATAAGGAAAAAATATCTAAAGCATCAATAAAGTTAAAAATCTATTTTTGTACAAATGTAATTTTATCCCTTGCATATTCTTGGATATTTTTTTTTCTGGATTGTTTTGTTTCTTCTACAGAGATTGTTATAAACGCTCTCTCTATTTTTCTCTCTCTCTCTCTCTTCCTCTCTGTAAATGTTCAGCCGCAGGGACAGGGATCTGGAGAAGAGGGAGAAACTTCTGACTGTGTTTTAAAGGCTTTATATGAAATCTCTTTTGAAATAATTTTTTTGAATGAACTTTTTATTTTTTTCCCCCACTTCCAAAATCTTTTTCGGGGAGGGGGGGGAGGGCGGGGGAGGGCAGGGCGGGCTGGTCTGGGGGTGTCTTTTGTCACGTATATCCGGCGTTCCCGCAGGTCTGTTTTACTGTGAAATCACTACCGTATATTATTATTCACTTAAAAAAAATGAAAAGAAAAAAAAAAAAAGAGTTGCTGCTGGAAACGCCAGTATTTTGATGAACAATTGTATTAGAATTGTGGAAAAAAAAGAAAAAAAAAAAAAGAAAAAAAGAAAAAGAAAAAAGAGAAAAAAAAATAAGAAAATATATGAGCATTTTAAAATATAACCCAGTCCAAGTCCTCTTTTGTTCTTTATGGGTATTTCCTGAGCTGGTCCTTAGGCTGTGGGGTCCTGTCCTCACCAAGGGGGTCCCGGTCACCCAGGGGTCCCCGTCCTGGGCTCCCTCCTGCTCTTCTTCTCCTCTCACCTTCAGTCCTTCGAAGCCTGGCCCAGCAGGCAGGATTTCAGCCAAGGGCAGTGGGGGTTTCTGCGTTGGGTACTTGACTTCGTCCTGCCTCTTTCCTCCCTGGTTTAGCGAGGGGTCAGCAAGTAAAAATAGCCCCTTGGACTTCATGGTGTGTGATGCACCTCCAGCTCCACGACAGCCTCACGTATGTACGTATAATGTAGGTACAAAAATAAGTAGTGGTGGTTTGAGTGCGACACCCCAAAACCCATTTATTGGTCTGGGAGCCACCGAGGCTTCATTTTCCTGGAGCTGCAGGCTCACGGAAAGGGTTGGGTTTGGGGTGAGAGCAACGGCAGAACCACGGGGGAAATCCCAAGGCTGGGCTTTTAAAACAGATCGGTTTTGCCCCCAGGAATTTCTCCTGAAAGAATTTCCGATTCCTTTGACAATTCCAGGTGTACCCTCTAGTGACAGTGGGACGGTGCCACTTACACAAACTATACGATGAGTGCCATTGTGGGGGCCAGCCCCCCGGGAGGGGTATGCCAGCTGGGCGCACTGGGGTGACCCTGGGCTCTCTGGTGGGTGGGTGACAATGGGGTGACACGGGCCGTCCCACGGACGAGGGCCACTCTTGGCACATCACACACCATGGGCTGGGCTGAGCCAGAGCCATCGTGGCTCTGTGTGGGGACACGGGCATGGGGAGAGCTCCGACCTGGTGACACAAACTGGGACAGGGCACAGCACGGAGCAGCGAGATTCTGGGGTCATGGGCACCTTGCCACGGTGACAAGGGCACAGCGACAAGCTGCCCTCAGGCACACACGTGGGGACAGCATGCTGTTTTCCAGCCCCTTTGTCTCTCAGTGCCAAGTTGGTGCCTTTGGAGCAGGGACATCGCCATGCGGGGAGGTGCCGTGAGCCCCCGGCGCCGCGCGCGTGATGTGGAGCAGCGAGCGGTGGCCTTGGCTTAACCTGGATCCGTTGCCAGGTACAAACAAGATTGAACTTGCTCTTGGGTTTACAGCGGAGATAAATCCTCCCCGACGGCTGCAGAGCCGGTGAAATAGAGACGGAAAATAGGTGTTTCAATTTGGTTAGTGACGATCCGTGCGCTCCTAACTTTGCCGCAATATTTTTTCATTTGGGAAGCCGGGGACGTGGCTGGCAGAGGGCAGAGGAGGGGGGGCAAAAAGGATGCTGGTGGCTCAGAGGTGCCTGCTGCTCCCTGGTGTGGGGACACAGCCCAATGCCGCCCCGGCCCTGAGCTGCTACCCCTCTGCTCATTTTTGGAGGCCTTGGGGACCAGGGTGCACCCGCAGGCCCTGGCCACCCAGCAGCGGCTCGCCCGGCCGGCTGCACTCGCGCATGGGATGGCTCCCGTTCCAGAGGCTGGTTATTTGTCTTGTTAACCTCCAGGCAGCAGTTTGTGTTTGGAGAGCAAATATTTACCTCCCTTCCTGAGTTTTTTTTTTTTTTTTCTTTTCCCCTTCTCCTGGGGTGGAGCAAACTGGGCTCCGTGGCCAACGCTCGCCCTCGCACCACGGGTTGGCTGGGTCCCCACCACCCGTGGGCTCAACACCCACGCTTTGCTTTGAACATCAGGCTTGCTTCTATATTTAAAGCAGCTAATAACAAAAGGCAAGGCCAAGCCAAGCTGCCCACTGTTCTTTTTCTTTCCTTGCCATGTTTGCTGCCACCCCCTCGGGAAGCTGGGCGCTTTCCCAGGCTCCAACTCCTGCTCTGGGGGAAAAGGGAGCAGGAGGAGGAGGAGGGTGGCACCACGAACTCGTTGCTGTTTCTCCAGCTTCAGCTGGGATCAAAGTGCCTGATTCCTTGATAACAGAAGATGGTTGTAAGGGAATGAAATGTTTCGCACACGCAATGGCTTGGGGCTTTTTGTGGCAGGGCTGGCTGTGTGCAGGATTGGCCCTCACCTCACGAGGCGCATGGAGAGAGATACAAAGAGGTCCAGAGCGCTCTTTTATCAGGAGCCTCCTAATGCCAGATTTCCCCAAACCCCAAGCTCTTGGAGGTGTAGGATTGGGAGGGGGCTTCATCTTCCTCTGCAAAACACCGTCCTGGTGCCCTGGGTGCATGAGGGGGTCCAGCGTGGAAGACGCTGTGCCGGGGGGGGTGCAGAGATGCTCCTGGAGCCACATCCCGCTTGGTGGCACCGGGCTGGCCACTTAATTTCTGCACATCCCCAGTGCTGACAGAGATGGAGTGAGGTGTCAGCAGACTGTTTTGAAATCCTTAAGAGAAGGGCTGTGATCCCCGTCCTCGCCATGCCTCAGCTTTGCAGCAAGGAGGGGCTCTACAAATAAATACAGACAGATGAGCTCTTTCACTGGTAATTTGTCACTTCATAATTGCCAAAGAAAAGCAGGTTAGTTTTCTGCTCCTGACCTCTCTCAAGCAGCCTTTTCACCCCAGCCGGCCCCAGGGCCGGGGTCAGGGTCCCAGGGGGCAGCTTTCCCCTTGCGCTGTTGCCACAAAGGGCACCTTGGCCTTCTGCAGCAGTGACATTTCCACGGGTCCCCCCCCCCCCCAAATTTCCCTGCGCTCCCCAGCCCAGTGCTCCCCACTGCGGGCCTGGCATGTGGAAACTGGGCTCTGGGCATTTCCCTGGTGGGACTTTGGGGTGTGCTGAACCGTGCCAAGCCATCCTGAGCTGTGCCATGCCATGCCATGCCAAACCCAGCTGTGCCATGCCAAATCAAGCAGCCCAAGAGCAAAGTGCTGCTGCCCCCTCCCGACAGCAGCTCCCCAACCCCCGCAGCCCCCTGGGCAGCCTTGGGTTTGTTCTCCCCCCAAGGCTCTCCCCCTGACCCCAGAGCCCAGCAGCTCCCCGCAGGACCCCCTGCAACCACCTCACCCTGCCCGTAACAGCCCCTGCTGCAGCAAGGTGTGCAGACCAACAGCCCACGGCACAAAACTCTGCATTTTGAAGGTTTAGACCTCATTTTTCCATCAGAATACAAAAACCTTCTTTTTCCTTTTTTTCTTTCTTTTTTTTTTTTTTTCCTTGCAGTATGACAAAGGGTTAATAAGAGGCTCGGAGGGAAGCGTTGCCTAAAATGAGTATCTTTCCTTTCCAAAGAGCTCGAGATCCCAAGGCACAGGCGAGAAATCCTAGCCACAAAAATTTCGCATCCCTCTGCCTTACAACACTGGCAGTGAAACCTTGTTTGGCTTTATAGGCAAGATTTTCCATACCGTGCTCCAACGCAACTCCATTCCGCTAAGCCCACATCTTGTTTTTCTACTGACAAAGTGAGGTATGATTCTTGGCTCGGCGATTTTCTGCTGTGGAAGACTAAATGAAAAGATGCTTTTAAAGCTCATTCACTCAACACTCAACCCAAAACCCAGGGGGAGGGTCAAATGGAAATTCATTAAAGTTATCAGACGGCCTTTCTGCTTTTGTGGCGGGTACGAGGCTGAAGAAAATTAAATGAAGACACAAGTGTTTGTTAGGATACCGCGAAAGGTAGAGCAGCCCGATGAGTAAACCAGCCGAGTCATTTAATTTATTTTCTTACAAAAAGCTTGTGTTGGAGTCATTGTGAGTCCTGAGGACACAGCCCTTGGTGTTCATTTTGTCTGGATCTTTTAATTTATGGCATGAAAGCATCCTGCCCTGCAAGAAGGGCAGCCGCATGCTTCTCCCTGGCAGGGGCTACCTGGCAGGAGCTTAGAGCTGAGCCGGGGAGGCAGGATGGAGACGGAGGAGGGAGGACGAGCGGCCTCGCTCAAGGCTGGCCAGCAGGGAAGGAGTGGAGAGGCTGCTCCCAGCCCCTCTTCTCAGCCTCCTGCTCTGCCCTTGTGAATTTGGCACACCAGCGCCCATTTCTGGGGCTCCCTGCCCCTTCCTCACCGCTCTCTGCTTGCCCTGGTTGGGGTGAGGAAGGAGCAGGCGGAGGGTCCCCGAGGATGCTGCGCCACCAGGAGGGGCCGAGGGCTTTGTGGAGCTGCAGGGGGGTGTCCAACATCCCTGGGGTTACACCGCACACCGTGGGCAGAGGAAAGCAGCTCCCCGAGCAGGACCAAGCTGGGGGGGCTGCTGTGGTGTGTCCCCAGCCACCAGCAGCTGCCTCCCTTCCCGGCTCGCCGCCCGGGCAGACACACCAGGACGTGGGTTCCTGGGCGATGCGAAGACATTACCTAATCCTTTGAAACCGGATCCTCCCGTCAGGCTCCAGTTGGAGGAGAAAAGCTTGCTCTGGCCTGTCTGTTCCTGCTCCAAAAAAATGTTTCCCTCCTCATGGCAAGGAACGTGCTGCGGACGATTTCCTGCTATCGGGAGGGTGGAGGTGGGTCCCCAGAGACCCCTCTGATTAACCCCTGCCTGGGAAGCCCTGGTCCTCGTGTGCTGGTAAATCTTCCTGTTCCCATTATGGGGACTGCTGCCTTGAGCAAGGAATGAGCCTCATGAAAAAAAAATATAAAATAATTTAGACCCATTTGCACCATCCAGCCAGCTGTGGATTCACTAGTGTCTAATACAGGATGCTCTCACACAAAGGAAAAAATTGGGTGCTTGGTCCCTGCAGGGACTGGGAGAGGCAAGGGGAGCAAAGAGAGTGTCCAGGGGATTTGGGTGGGATTTGGGGAGGTTTCTGAGTGCCTCAGTCCCCTGGGTTGCCTCCACTTGGTGCCTGCAACCCATTTCAGCATCCTTGCGGGGTGATGCTCTCTCCAAGCATCTCAGCCTGCTGACAAGCAGGAGGAAGGCTGGCAGGAGAGACAATTTGTGGCTAGCTATTTGCTGTTGTCACTCCGACCATTTTACCTTAAGAGGCAATAAAGATGAAAGCCAATAATAAGCAGCCAGCCATCATTTGGGGGGGAAAGGCTATAATTTACTTTGC